GTTAACACCCCCAGCACCCAGCCCAGCCCCCCGCCCGGCACCCGCGGGTCTCCCATTGAGGGGGTGAGGGCAAGAGCATGGGGACTGTGCCCCACCACCCTGAGTCACTCCCGGCGCCCCGATAAATGGCAGCCAGACCGCTTCCCCATCCCACCCCCTCCCTGCAACACTGCCTATGCCCAGAGCCACTCCAAGACAATGGTGGAAGTCAAAAGCAGATGATTCCCCCTCCCAGAGATGCCATCAGCATCACCTAGGCCCAGTGTGACCCCCCACGGCTCAGTCCGAGTTGCTGAAGTCAATGAGAAGCATCTCGTGGCCATAACTTGAGTAGTGAAATTCCGTCTCCAGCACAGTGAGGGTGAGAGCCCACTCGAGCATGCAGAGCTCCTCATCCTCCTCACCAGAGCTCTCCGAGGAAGAAGGGTTGAACTCCTGCAGCACAGGAGGGAGGATGAGCCCCGGTCTCCCACTGCATTGCACCCAGCCCGGCCCCATGACTTGCCACCCCACTTACAGTGGGCATCCTCAGCCGCTGCTGTCTGCGCCGTGGCAGCCGGCTGGTGGGCAGCTCGTGCAGGTAGATGCAGTCAGACCTGAATGGGCAGTGGCCACGGTTTCGAACAAAGAATTTACATCTGATTTTCCTGCGGGATTCCAAGCACAGCTGTGAGTGTGGCTCCCGAGGCAGCACAGAGCCCACAGCCCTGCCACCCGCAGTTCCATGCACTCACCCCATCCGCGCCTTGAAGGTTCTGATGAGCTTCTCCTTCTCACCCACATCCGAGATCCAGTATTTGTGGGGAATATAGTAACTGGAAGTGATCCGGCACTCTGGGCAGGCCCTGGGTGAAGGCAATGGGTGCAGATGGGTGTCCCAAAAAGGGAGCAGGGAGCACAGGCTCAGCACCCATGCAGGGTGGTCCTGCTGCCATGGCCTCATCCAGTATCCCCATCCCTACTCCCACTGACGTGTTCCCAAAGAAAAGTCGTGCCAATGCAAAGTCACATCACCAGACCTAAGGAAGGATTTCAGGGTGCAGAAGGGGTGATGGTGACCACTCTCCATTGTCCCCATCCCCACTCACTTTATGACTGTGCTCTGGAAGTCCCGGCTGCGACGCCACTTGCGGATGCATCCCACGCAGTACGCGTGGCTGCAGTTCGGGAGGATCCCAAAGAGCCGCTCTTCTGGCAGCGGCTTCTCGTACACCCTGTCCATGCAGATGCCACACACCACGGCCTCACTCTGGGCTCTCAGTGCCTCGGTGGGGACTGGGGCTGCCGCAGCACCCAGATCCATAGAGACCTGCACGCAGAGAAGCAAAGCATGGCAACCCCCCAGCTCCATCAATGCCCTGGCCTTGGGGAGTGCCCGGCCACAGGACACCTCCAAACCCACCTCTGCAGGGTCAGTCCCCGTCACCATCTCCACCACTGTCTCTCTGGGGTCAGAGGAGTCTGCATCCAGTGCCAGCCCTTGTAGCTGGGAGCCTGCAGGAGGAAAGCTCTTAGAGGGGAAAAGCACATCCCCCCATCAGAGAGCCAGGCAGGCTGCTTAGAGCATGCAGCCTCAGCAGTGACGGTCCCCTGGAGACCTCTCCACAGCCCCAGCTTGGCCACGGTTTGGAGCACAGGCAGAAACATGCTCAGACTGCTCCACCGTGACCACTCCAGTATCCTCAGCCCCACTGGTCCCCTGGGCAGCCTAGCACCTACCTGAGGCACGCTGAGCATGTGTGGGGACAAATTCTCCAGTGATGTTATCAGGTGCTGCGACGTTCTTCTTGTCTTTCTGTTCCACCTCAACCTCCATGTTTGGGAACTTGAAGGCCACATGTGTCGTGCTGGGGGCAGGGTAGTCCGAGGTGCGCTGGGGTCCCACCCAGCCCTGGGCCGTGGCCGTGGGCACAGTGCCAGGCTCTGGGCCCCAGTGGCAGGGGGGCATGGAGGGATCCAGGCCATGGCGGGATGGCACCAGCTCCTCCTGGATGTGCTGGTAGCTGGAGGAGCCCAGAGACAAACAGACAGAGAGTCTCATCAGCCCAGCATGACTCCTCTTGGCTCCCAGCCCATCCTTGGGGCATCAGACTCCTGCTCGCTGCCCCTTACCTGCACTGCTCTCCGTAGCTGCAAAACCCAGTCTGGAAGTACCTGCAGATCTGAGCTGAGTTTCTGTCATGTAAGAAGCGGCAGCTCTGGCCCCATCGACAGGATCCACGGGCAAAATTCCTGTTGGCCAGAGGAGCCGCATGGTTGGGGTCAGACCCCACTCCAACCTTGCTCCACCAGCCACCCTGACACCCCTCCGGGTACCAGCTTTGTCTGGGTGGGGCCATAACTTGCAAAAGCCCCACCTGGTGTCCCGGCTCAGGAGCCCCTGTCAAGGGCAGAGCCCGGGGGAGCCAATGCTCTCCCAGCCCCATCCAGCCTTCTCTCCTGGTTAATTGCAAAGCAAAATAAAGCTTAGGACTGGGCTGGCCTGGGGGCTCTCCTCAGGGCAAGCCAGGGGTGCTGAGGGCTGGGGCAGCCCCTGGCTCCCTGTGGAGCCATGGAGAGCGGCAAGGAGTTCTTGGTTTGCAGCTGACGGGAAAGAGGTGCCTGGCTGGAGTGTTTCTGGGGACCCCCAGCTCCGGAGGTGGGGCAGCTGCATGGGGAAATGGGTGGGGGGTGGGTCAAGGCCATCCCAATCCACTCTCTGTCCCCACAAGGAGGGACTCGTGGTCCCATCTCAAGCCTATCTCCCCCAAAAGCTGCTCCCAGCCCTCCCGACCCCAAGCCTTTTACCTGCACCGGGGTCTCAGACAGCTCTCCCTGCCCGTTAACGTCCCAGATGCCACCGTCGAGCCCGGCTCCATCTGTTCCCCGGCAGCCAAGAGGGCTCGGCTACTTCCCGGGGCTGTTTATGGCCTCAGGTAGGTCCGGCTGGGATAATTCTCCCCTCGGAGTGGGGGCTGTGCTGCGATTTGGGCGGAAGACAAGCCCGAACAAGCCCGGGCTGATAGCACGCGGGAGTGTGAGCATTGTTTACTTTGAGTCAAGGACTTTCCAGCTCCTCTTGCTCCTAAGTGAGAAGCCTAGCGGGGGTCACCACTGCAGTGTGCATCACTAAATTCTGTATATTCTAATTCTTTTATCATTACTATTTCCTTTTTGTTTCAGTCATATTAAACTATCTTTATCTCAACCTATAAATTTCACTTTTTTCTCAGTTCTCTCCCCCATCTCACTGGGAAGGGAGGCAGTGAACAGCTTAGGAATCATGGCAAATTCCTGGAAATCACAACAGATCCAGCAAATCCCATCACCTCTGCTGGAAACCCTCCCATGGGCAGCCCCCCAGGTGCCAAGAGAAATCCCACAAAGATAAGCTGGACACTAAAAGGTTCTTAAATATTTAATTCAGATTTATTTAAAGTCAAGTCAGTTTGTGGACACTATTTATATTATTAAAAACACTTGGAGGTTTGTACTTCTAGCAAAAATATACATTTCAGTTTGAGGGTTGTTACACTGTTGAGGAAGGAAGAGCAAAGAGTTCCCCAGGTGATGGGCACAAGTCCTGCATGTGGCTGTGGTGGGGATGCCACGAGGGCTTTGGGATGGGCAAATCCCCTGGGCTCCATCCAGCACACGCATATCTCCAGTGCCTTCCCGGAGAGGGCTTCAAAGTGCTTCAGAAATGGTAACTCCTAACGCCCCTGCAAGGTAGGGAAGGGAGGGGCTGGGCAGGGAAACTGAGGCACAGCAAAGGGCTGGAGTGCGGCAGCAGGGGCAGGTTTGGCCATCGCCAGCCCTGTGACAGGGTGGGGAAGCCCAGTGCTCTTCCCCTTTGGGTTTTTTAAAGGAATTATTGCACCAGGGAAATCTGCTACCCTGAAGACAAGGAAAGTAAAATAAAACCGACTAATTTGCTCCCACAACCCCTCCTTGGGGATTTCAGCATTTTAATAAGGCTGCTCAGGACACACAGGACCAGGAGCTGCAGACAGGTAAGTGCTACTTCTTAGGTCAGACACCATCATCCTGAGAGGGAAACTGAGCCCTTCCCGGGTCCATCCTCTCCCCTCGAGCTCAGGTGATGCAGCCCTTCAC